AAAAAAAAAAAAAAAAAAAAAAAAGGCTCGCCGCACGAGAGGCCGCAGCGCCCGCTCCCCCCACGGCTCCCGCTCCGGGCAGCTGCCTCCCCGCAGGGGAAAAGACGCCGCCTGTAGCCAATAGGCGCCGGGCAGCCCGTTTCCATGGCGCCGCCAGGGGCCAGAGCCAATAGGGGGCGCCGGAGATGTTCGAAAATTCGGAAAGAAGCGAAGCAACCGGCACCGCAGCGCGGGAGCGGGGCCACGTGGCGCGGCCCCTGCCGGGGGCGTGCGTGGCACGGGCGGACGCGGGGGACACAAGCGTTGGAGGCGTTTAAAAAATCAGCCACTATAGGGACGCGATCGGGGGTCGCCCTGCGCGCACGGAGCCCCCCACCCACCCCACGGCGGGAGAAGGGGAGCAGCGGGCGCCTCCTCCCGTCTTCCTGCGCACGGAGACGGCTGCAGAGCGAGGGCGGCGACACAAAAGACAAAGCGAATAACCCGGGTCCGTTCTCAGAACAGTCTGTTTGGGGGGGCTCAGTCCTCGGTGGCTGGGCTGGGGAGGACGATCACGGGGGGCAGTGTCCTCGCCGCCCCACTCTCATGCCTTCCTGGTCTTCAGTGCCTTCGGCTTGGCCGACTTCTTCACCTTCTTGCCGCCGGCGGAGGCGGCACCTTTCTTGGCCGCTTTCTTGGCTTTGCCTTTCTCCTTTCTGGCGGTGGCAGCCGCGCCCGCCCCCTTCTTGTGCGATTTCTTTTCGGGCTTCTTGGTCTTGACCGCCGGTTTCTTGTCCACGCGCCGCGTGGCGGCCGCCGCCACGGCCTTCTTGTGCGATTTGTGGGCGCCGCCGCCCGCGCCCCCTTCGCCGCCGCCCTCCAGCTTCTTGCGATTGAGCTTGAAGGAGCCGTTGGCGCCGGTGCCCTTGACCTGCAGCAGCGTGTCGTTCTGCACCAGCGCCTTGATGGAGTATTTCAGGTAGGTGCGCCCGTTCTGCTGGTCGAACCACGCCACCTTCTTGGCCTCATTGTAGATCTTAGCCAGCGACGAGCCGTTGCGCTCGCCCAGCTTGCGGATGGCCTCCACCACCAGCTGGCTGTATTTGCCCGGCTGGTTCTTCTTCTTGTTGTTCTTTCTCCTCTTGGACGGCGACAGCGATGAGCCGCCGCCCTTGGCTTTCTTGGCCGTCGCCTTCTTCTCCGGCGCGAGCGGCACCTCCTCGGCTTCAGTCAGGGGCAGATCAGCTTCTTCCAGCTCCACCGACATCCTGGCGGCGACGACTGCTCCGAGCAAACGCCGCTCCGCACGGCTCCGGCGGTCGGACGCGACTGGCGGGGCGGCGCTCGAGCACCGCTTTATATAGGCGCGGTGCGGACCGAATTGGGAACAACAACAGGCTGGTCCGCAGCCAGCTCCAACTTGTGCTTTCTGGAGCCCCTTCGCGGGGCCCTGGCGCGCCCGCGCCGCGCC